GCCGCGGGGCCTTGCCCCGGAGGAGAAGGGCTCCTTGGGCCCGGCTTAGGCCTGCCGTGGGCTTGAGGGGCTCCTCCTTGGGCAAGCTGAGGGGGGGATCGGACCAGGGGCTGCCTCCTGAAGCACCATCTCCGTCTGTCCGTACCCTGCCCGCCCCGCCGGCACAGCCTCCCCAAAACTCACCCCCTCCGGGGGGGGGCACCATGAAAAATACTTCAGAAGGAAACCCAGGAGGGGGAGGAGAGACTCGTGTTCCTGCAACACTTGATATTCAGACACCAGAATCCTGCGGTGAGGACGAGCTGCACCGCAGCCTGCCCGGGCGGGGATCCACTGGGATTTCCCCGACACGCAGGGACCGGGGCCGTGGCCGTCTCGCCAAGGCCGACGCAGCTAAAGCTGCTTCTGCAGAACGGCGTGATAAGATCTTAGAAGGATTTTAAAAAGATAATAATCTGGGGTTTCTTTTTCTTTGTAGCTGAAAGAGGCCCGGCCCCACGCCTCCCCGCATGGGCAGCCACCGTCCAGCAGCGCTCCGGGAGCAGCCGCCTCGTGGGCGTTCGGGCACGTGTGAAAGGCACCAGGTACGGCCCCGTGTGGCTTCTCCCTCCCTCCGGCAGCCCCGGGGGTCTGGCCTGAGCGTGGCTCCCTCCTGCCCCGCTTCCAGCCCAGGCAGGCTCTGGTTCCCGGGCCAGGCTGGCGGGGAGGCGTGCGCGGGCAGAGCTCAGCGGGGCGGGCGGAGCAGGGCGCGTGTGCTCGCGGCGCTGGCACGGCGGGTTCCGCTCTCCTCACCACGCTCCCTGCGCTACGGCTGCTGCTGGTACTGCCTCTCTGTCGCAGTAAAGAAATCCTCCAAAATGCCCTGCATGTACTCGAAGGTGGGACGATCCTCCGGTTTGGTCTTCCAGCATCTCATCATAATGTCATAGAGCTCCTCGGGGCAGTTCTCGGTGCGGGGCATCCGGTACCCGCGCTCCAGCGCCCTGATCACCTCCACGCTCGACATCCCTGCAGAAACAGGACACGGGAACGTTTCATCGCTGATTTCTCTTAAAAGGCAAAAAACCACCCAAACCAGCCCACCCTTTGGGCAATGTCTCTAGGAAGAAAAGGCTGGGCTAGAGGGGATGGGAGGGGGGACACGCTACCCCTGGTCAGGGAAACATGCGGGCAGCCGAGATGCTGAGTTGGTCACAGCATGCTGTTCTGTACACCACTGGAGCAGATCAAATGGGAATTAGAATCGGTTTGTATAAATTTTAAAAAAATAAAGGCTACTCTTCTCTACCTGCTGAGTCTTTAACGAGCCATTCCTTCCAATAAAACTAAGTTAGCGTGATGGCAGAACTGGTCCTCCCGAACAACCATTTGTGCCACGCCAGATCCTTCATGGTTGGTCCGTGGCACCATTTACTTTTCTTGTGCAGAAAAATTTCCCATTGAAAAAAGGTACCACAGCAACAGTTAGTATAAAATACAGGGCAGTTCCTAATGATGACAATTTACAGATTGCTTGAGCCTTCTCCAAAACACCTGGCCCAGCTATCAGCCCTGAAGCAATGTGCTGCTTCCACACACGCTTAATCTGCAGGAAGCAGAAAACCACAGGTCAGTGCTGTGACGCAAACCCGTGAGCCAGGAACCTGTGGTGTCCGATCCCCCCCCCCAGGGCCACAGCACAGCCGGGGGCGAGTCAGTCGTCCTCTCGCATTAAAAACATGATCTTCTGTTTTAGAGAGACCCGATCTTTTAGCGGCCCTGACTGCTGTTGGTTTCCCGCAGAGCTGGAGGAGCTCAGGACCTCCTTGCAGGCTCAGCCCCGAGGCAGTATATAGAGAGGCTGCCCTTCTCCCCAAAGCAGGCGGCACCCCACAGTTGTCACTACCTGGACCTATTCTGCCGGCTCCCCTGTGAGATGTCCCAGCTCTGCTTTGTGGAACCTGAGAAGGGGGAGCCCATGTCACACGGGCAGGGATTTCACGTCGGTGAAAACAGCTGGTGTCCACCGAGGACTCCCAGGGAGAAAATCTCCCTAATGGCCCATCCTAGGTGAGCTCTGGTCCGAGGAGCAGACGAAGCTAAATGAGTAATGCCGACTGCTCGGAGACCGCCTGGTGCTCTGGGCTCCTCTCCACGGCTCACAGACACCTCGTGCTACCGCCCTTGAGCTCTGCTCCCGGTGTGAGATTCAGATTTCTCACCCTTCCCTCTGTTTTCAGCGATCCCACTTCGTGGGGAAACAGATCCCATGGGTGGGGCCCAGAATCTTTTGGAACCAGAGCAGAGGAGGGATTTCACCTCCTTACCTGGGTATGGGATGCGCCCGTAGGTAATGATCTCAGTCAGGAGGATCCCAAAGGACCAGACGTCTGATTTTATAGTGAAAGATCCGTAGTTGATGGCTTCTGGTGCAGTCCATTTAATGGGAAACTTGGCACCTGGACAAAGAGATCCAACGGGAAACACGAGCTCTATCGCAAATGCTGAGAAACTGATGGTGAAATATGGGGAACCAGAGGCAAGCAAACAGAAGAGGAACATGCAAGGCGATGCAAATGAGAGGAGCTTCCCTCCTCTGCCCATTTACACATCACATCCCTCCCGGGGCCCTTCCCACCGAGGTTACACGGAGATAAGTGGCTCTAAGGGAATCCCACAGCCCTCCACCACCTCAGAAAGTGGCCAGTGACCCCCAGCAGCTCCCGCACCTTCCCGTGCCGTGTACTCGTTGTCTTCAATCACTCTGGCCAGTCCAAAGTCTGCGATCTTGCACACCAGCATTGCCGACACCAGAATATTGGCAGCTCTCAGGTCTCTGTGGATGTAGTTCCTCTTCTCAATAAAAGCCATTCCTTCTGCAATCTGTAAAAAAGGGGAAAGAGAAAAATGCAAAGAGGCTCTTTGAAACAACACGACCTCCCCAGTGGGACTGTTACCAGGAACGGAAAGAGGTTTTCTGCTTCTGGCCGGTGCTTGGAAAGGGGTGAACAGAGGCTGAGCCACAGCGGGAGACGGGACTGACTGTCCTCGGGGGAACCACCCTCCGGTCAGGGAAACCCTGGCGGAAGAGTCAGCGTTTGGGTGACCAGCCCAACACGACCCATTTAAGCCCAACGTGCAAGAAGGGTGGTGAGAACGGGCGAGGAGGAGCCGATGTGCTCACGAGCGAGTGTCTGTGGGTGCCCGCAGGGCAAGGTGTCACCGCTTCCCCCGAAGCCAACAGATGTGAAGGGCAGTAACTCGCCCTCTGTGCAGAGGAGGCGGGAGACCAGTCTCCAAACACGACAGCAACGGCTTGAGAGAAGCAGGGAGTAAACGATCGCCTCTCTGTCCTGAGGGAACGACAAAGGGACTTTAATAGCTGCAGTGTGGGTCACCCAGCATCGCAGCGTCCTTGGTGGGAACAGAAAAGCACGGGGGGGGTCTCCCGAGGAGCAGGGGGAGGTGCCTGGGGTCTCCAAGAATAGTTTGTGATGAGCTGGCTGTCACGATGCCCCCCAGCTCTGCACTAAGTGGCTGTAACGATGCAGAAATGACCTGGTGTGGGCACGACCGGCCCCCAGATTTGTGCCAAATTATCCCGCGTTTGACGCTGCCCACTCCCAGGAGGGGAAGGGGTTGGAGCAGTCCGGGGGGACGCTCCCCCCATCCCCCTCACCCCCCACCAGCCAGGCCGGGGGACGCTGTGGTTGCTGGCAGAGCTCTCCGCACAGAATACAGAAGTAAATAAGCACTGCGAGAGCGGAAGGATTATTTCCATGACCACAGACACAGTTTTGCTCGCGGCGACTCAGCCCCAGCACAAGCCCTGGTGCCAGGCTCGCTAGCTGCCTGCCTGCTGCCTGCCCAGGAAAGCGCCTCAGCCTCTGCTTCGGGGCGCTGCAGCCAGCCGCCCCTCCGAGCGGCGGAGCCGAGCGGCGCGGCCGGCTCCAGGAACCAGCGGCCTGGCCTAAGCCCCTGGGGTCTGGGCTCCCAGCCTGGCTTTCCTGTTGCTCAGGTACCTCTACGAGTTATTTAATCGGGGTTCCAAGCTTGGCTTAAAGGATCCCTGGATTCGGCCAGGGTCTGGGGATGCTGCAGAAGCAGCAGGGACAAGACAGCAGTTGCACCAGTGATCGCACACACGAAGCTGGATGTACAACAGCACGCTCAGCTGTGCTCAAAGACCTGCTCCTGAAACATCCCCCGAATGATTTTCAGCACGTCCTCCTGCCTTCCCCCAGCCCGTGCCAGCCCTGCGGCAGGTAAATGGTTTTAATGAACCACAAACTCCCGCAGGCATCGCTGTGGGGTAACGGAACACGCTCCGCTCCCTCCTAGAACCCGCGCCCAGCTCAATCGGCCGGGCACCCTGAGCGCATCCAAACCGCGCCGTGGATTTCCTACGAAACCCACAAAGATGAACGCGGCCACGGCCACGGGTGGGTCCTGCTGGGGGCACGGCCCGGGGGGGTGCAAGAGCTGCCCTGGAGCTGGTGGGGGGTGGCACGGGTGGGTGTGTGGCCCCGCGGGGTTTTGCAGGGCTTTCGCTGATTTTGCGGATGAGGCTCCGTCGCGCAGAGCATGGTGTCGGCAGGGAACAGTCACCTCAGCAACGGATAGAAACCGAGAGCTTTGGGGGCTCTGGGCCCAGAGGGACCAACCGACCAGCACCGGCACCTCCTGGAGAAGGGACCGTGCAAACACGAGCAGGACGCCAAGCTCCGACCCTCACCCCTGCGACTTCCACACAGCACAGCAGCCACGGCGCGGAAACCACGGAAAAAACCCACAGATTTCCCAGCGCCCCGGGAGGAGCAGCCTGGCCCAAACCCCCCGGGGGGCCGGCTGGGTGCTGCAGGAAAGGGGCCACCGGGGAGGAAGCCACCATTCCTCCTTTGGCGCCCCCGCCCTGGCGCGGGCAGCGGGATGGGGATGGCATGAGGGCAGCGCCGCAGGGAAACCCCCCGGCTCCTTCCCTCTGTCCCCAGCTCCGGGCTGGCACTGCCCAGCTCCCAGGAAAATTCTTGGGCAACTCGATTCCCTCACTTGCCCTCCTCGGAGGGAGTGGGGGGGCTGGGGAAGGTCAGCTCCCTCCTCACCTGAGCGGAGAAGTCGATCAGCTTCGGGAGCGGCTGCTTGTTCCCCTCGTCGCTCTTCAGGAAATCCAGCAGGCTCCCTGCGGACAGGGAGGGGGCCGGGGCTGGCGGCTCGGCCGGAGGTGGCACAGGGTCCCGGGGAGCCGAGCACGACGCGGGGCCTCGGTCAGGAAACCCCGCACCCCGCTCCCGGGGATGGGGCAGAGGGACCGAC